GCATCTATCAAGTGGTATTGAATGAACAGACAAGGGATGAGTGAGTGGTTGTTAAAAGGAGGGAAATGACAGATATATGGCCAAGATAAAAATGTAAATATAATTCAGACCTAGAAGCAACTAGGCACCAGAGCTCTATAGGAGAAAAAATTCTATTTTCCCCATATTTCTTTAGCACTGGATAGTCGGCATAAAATGCAGAGAAAAATCAAACAGAGATGCCCTGAAGCATGACTGCTTGGCTGGTTGGTTAGTTGGTTTGGTGGTTGATTAAAGAGTCAGTGATGGGTAGAGTGAAATAGGAGAGACAGGCAGGTTTAGCCATGAGAAACCATCAGTCTCTCTCTCTCTCTCTCTCTCTCTCTCTCTCTCTCTCTCTCTCTCTCTCTCTCTCTCACACACACACACACACACACACACACACAGAGAGAGAGAGAGAGAGAGTAGTAAGTCTACTTTACATACAACCAAACATTCTTTGTACATCCATCACCTCAGCAGATAAACTTGAAAATTATCAAAACCTCAATATCGAAGTCACTTTTCAGGGCAAAGTATGGTCTCTAACAAGACCTCATAATAGAGTATTACCTAAAGGTGACCAGAATCTACCCTTCAAAGCAGTGTTGTCACTAATTTAGAATATATGTAGGTCTCACTTGGTCAAGTGTAGAGATACGTAGGTAGGTAGGTAGATAGGTAGGTAGATAGATAGATAGATAGATAGATATAGATAGATAGATAGATAGATAGAAGAAAAGAAGGAAAGAAGAAAGAAAGGAAGGGAGGAAGGAAGGAAGGAAGGAAGGAAGAAAAAGAAACAAAAAACACTGGCATCAATCCCTTGAGTCATAATTCTGGTCTCAAGTTAATAACTAAACCAGGAAACATTGGCAATGTGTGTTTGTTTGAAGCCTGAAGTGTCCAGCCATGAGGATGAGAATGAAACCCATCCAGCAAACTTCCTTCCCAGTTGTGACACATATACACACAAACACACACAACCCACAAACACATATGTGCCATATACACACATCATAAGCATATACATACATACATACATACATACATACATACATACATACATACATGCAAAATGCACACATAGGCACCAGGACACCTGCTTCAATCCCCCTGGGAAAGTGATACAGTCAACAGACATACCACACAACAAGCTACTTCTGGGCCCATCCACACTTCTCCAGCTCACATTGACTGCACCCGCCCCTCTTGAGTAACCCTTGCTGAAAACTGCCTCCCCCTCAGCTACCCTGCACACCTCTTCTAGCACATTTAGCACAACTGGGTTTCCTATGGTGTTCCATGTGCACAAACAGAGCCAGTAGAGCAATTAGCATACTGAGAGAGACAGAAAGCCAAAGCAAAAACACACAAGAATCAACCCATTTGTCTCCACATTTCCTGGATGCCCAGACAAAGGAAGTCAGGCAGGTTCTGTAAATTCTGCTATGGGGAAGAAACCTACAGACTCCTGCAGCCTACTTCACAGGGAGAAAGGACTCTTTTAGGATTTCACATGGGGCACTGTGACACACCAGGGAGCAACTCCTCAGAGCTCACCCATGGAGGCAGCAGTGAATTTTATGTGATAACTTTTAGCCCAGGAGCCAAGAGTATAAAATTAAGATGCGATTTAAAGATCTTCCCAGTAGACTGAGCTCCAGCCTATGCTTGCCACCTTATGCAGTGATCTCTCTTTCCTCCAACCAGTCTCCCAGCGGTAACTCTCCGTGTCATTCCCTGTCACTCTCAAGCTCACCCTTACTCAGGCCAGGCTGGGCTCCTGTCTCCTCTTTTCCTTCTGCCTTACCCCACCCCACATACCCCGCAAGGTGAGAGCAGGAGAGGGAAGGAGAGAGAAAGCAAAGCAGAGAAGAAAAGCGAAAAGAGAGAAAAGAAGACCGTGACAGAATGAAGACCTGCGGCACCCCAGTGCCAGGCAGGTTCCCAGTGTGACTCAGTTGGTACCTCCCCTCTTCCATCCTGAGGTTCAGGCCTTGCCACCCTTCCCTAGCTGCTGCTGATTTTTGAACTGGCACCAAGTTCCTTCTGCCACCTGCCCCTGGCACCTTAGGTTCTAGAAATGCCAAGAATTTGATGTCCCTCCAAGTGTACCGTGGCAGTTTTCCGAGCATCCATTCTCCTGGATTTCAAGGCTGCAATAGGATCTGCTAGAAGACCTCTTTCGACTTGAGTATAAGCAGTCTTACTGGGTGAGGCTTTGGACAAGTCTCCTTTGGGAATGCTGACTCAGCCAGAAGGACTAACCATTCCCCCTTACTTCTGCCCTTCATTTTCTGAAACTGGGGCAACCTGATAGAACTCAAGCAGCTATTGTGTGAGACTGAGGCTAGAAATCACTTTGCAAACATGGCAAAGCAGCCGCCCAACTGCACGGATGCTTGCTTTGAGATTTCTTTAGTAAAAGTTTTTGCTGGATTTAAGCCACTTGTTTGCTCTTCTCTTCTAATGGTTTGGGTGAGAAACGTCTCCTGTGGGCTCATGTATTTAAACACTTGGTCCCTAGTTGATGATGCTTTTGGGGAGGGGAAGGAACCATTAAGAGGTAAATTCTTGCTGAAGAAAGTGTTTTAAAGGTTTATGCCCCCACCCAACTTCCTGTTCTCTCTCCCCCTCTCTCTTCCTCTCTCTCTCTCTCTCTCTCTCTCTCTCTCTCTCTCCCCCTCCCCTTCTCCCCCGCTCTCTCTCCCCCCCTCTCTCTCCCTCTCCTTCTCCCTCTGTCTCCCTCTCCCTCTCCCTCCCCCTCCCCCTCTCCTTCTCTCTTTCCTTTTCCCTCTTCCTCTCCCTCTTCCCTCTCCCTCTGTCTGCTACTTCCTGTGTGTGGATGAAATTGTGATCACCCAGTTTTCCACTCCTGGAGCCATGATTTTCTGACTATTGTCATGCCTTCCCAGCTATTGTGGACTCTATCCTTGTAGAACAGTAAGCCAAAATAAACCCTTTCTCCCCTAATCTGATATTTGCCGAGGCATTTTATCATAACGACAGGAAAGTAACTAATCTAGAAATTACACTTAAATCCAGTGCAGCAGTCATGTGTCTTCCTGCCTCTAATTCTCCACACAGCTTTTCTTGCCTGGAACTTCCTCCTCCCTCTCCTCCCACTGAATTTCTAGGCTCGTGGGATGCCTCCCCTGAAGCATCCTTCTATGTGAAGCCTGTCTCTTTGAAAAGAGCCTTCAGACATGGATGGTCCTATCCCTGTACTAAACCCCCTCCCTGAACTGCACTAGCATGTCTAATATTGTCTTTCCTGAGTTTGTACCAATGGTTCTCAAAGTCAGTCCTGGGGCAGCAGCAGCACCTGGGAGGCCCAACACTTAACCAACTAGAAGGCTCAGGGGAGAGGCCCCTCAACTCTTGAGTCCTTGGAGCCCTCCAAGGAGTTCTGGTGCAGCCCTAAGTAGAGAAGCTTTACTTTCCTGTTGGGGAAGCCCTCTGCAGAAGGGGATTCTGTAGCAACCTTAGAATAGTCAAGTACATAATAACTGCCTAACAAATATTTGAATAATTAGCAATAATGGACAGGTGAAAAAAGAGAAACAATGGGCAATGAGTAGTTGATTGAAAATATGAGTTCCCTGGCTATTTTTTGGCTCTACTCTTTTGGTGGATCTTTTGTGCTAAAGCCATAAGACAAGGTACAAGGACTCTGGTTGACATGACTCTCACTAAAGACAAGGAGTAAAATAAAACCTGCAAGAGAGAGCTAGAGAGGTGGCTCAGTGGTCAAAGTTCTTGCTACACGAACAGTAACCATGAAGATTGGATTTCAGATACCCAGATAAATGATGGCGGGTATGGTGGCCTGCTTATAATTCCAGTGTCTCAACGAGCATTTGGGGACTCCTGCAGCAAACTTCCTAGCTTGACTAACTCCATCATCAAATTCTAAGATCAATGGAGAGATCCTGTGTCAATGAATGAGGTAAAAGTTATAGAAAAAGACACCTGATATCAACCTTGGGTCGCTCCACACATGTGCAAACATATACACACACATTCAAACAAGAATACAGAAGGAGGCAGCGGAGAGAAAGAAAAAAAGAAAAAAAGGAAGAAAGAAAGAAACTCAGCAAATATTTAAAAGAGACATCTCCCAGGCTGGTCTCAAACTTCCTATGCAACCAAAGATGACCTTGAAGTTCTGATCCTCTCATTCCTACCTCCTAAGTGCTGGGATGACAAGAATGTACATTTATACCTGGTGCATTAAATGCTGGGTTTGAACCCAGGGCTTCACGCATGCTAAGCAAACACTCTATCAACTAAGCCCCACCCCTAGCCAAGAAATCACTTTTTTTTTGAGGTCTGAAAGAAGCATCCAGCATTTAAAACACTTGACTCAAATGTTCCATGAAAACTCAAAGCTCTTGTTTACCTGCATTAGAATTGGTTTTGTCCCCAAATGACCTTCCTACTGAGATGAGCATCCTTGAAAATGAACTGTATGTGCACAAATGGAGAACAGGAGTAGGGTGGGTTCCATATAAGAACAAGGGTTGGGAGGCCTCTATGAACCCAGGCAAAGAAAGAGATTCACTTGCAGCCTGAAGAAACACTTCAAAGCCATCACTGGCCAGGACACAATATTTTATATTATACTGTCCTATATTCCATATTATAGTTTTTTGAAACAATGTCTCACTGTGTAGCTCAGGCTGGCTTAGAACGTGCTACACAAACTCCAACCCATGACCCTGCTGCCTCAACCTCCCCAACAATTCTAGGCACACTGTACCACTCTGAGCTCAGAAGTCTTTAAATATGAACCTCTATGATGGATTCCAAAATATGAGTTAATTCTTCAAAGAGATCTCCTGTATCAACACTTTTCCTGACATCAATCTGAACACAAATCACTTGGGAATCGTGTAAAATGATTCTGTCTCAGAAATCCAGGGGTAAGGCCTGAGAATCTGCATTTACAATAAACACTCCATTAGTGTTGATCTTACTGCATTCTGAGGAGCTGAGACATGATCCACAAAACTCCAGTTCCTTCCCAATCTCACTCCATCCTCATGAGTGTCCATCCACATCTGATCAGTCCTCATGAGTGTCCATCCACATCTGATCAGTCCTCATGAGTGTCCATCCACATCCAGTCCTCATGAGTGTCCATCGTGTCCATCCACATCTGATCAGTCCTCATGAGTGTCCATCCACATCTGATCAGTCCTCATGAGTGTCCATCCACATCTGATAGTACAGAAAAAAAGAGAAGTAGACATAGCTATGAATAAGAAATGATGGTAGTAGGATTTGAACTCCGGTCTGCTTGCACCAAGGCCATAGGATCTCAAGCTGCTGTCCTTCTGTATTATTTCCTTTTCTCATCACTGGGGCAGAACACCTGATAGGAAACTTAAGTAAGGAGAGTCTCACGATGAGAATGTCATCCCCACGGCAGGAAGGCACAAAGGTCAGAGGCTAACCACTTACACCTCAGAGGAAGAACATTGATGCTTGGCTAACTTTCTTTTTTCTCTTCTCTAGTCAGTCTGACACCTCAGCCCATGGAATAGTGCCACTCAGGTTCAGGAATATCTTTTCCATTCAGCTAATCTTTGCAAGCATACACACACACACACACACACACACACACACACACAAACACACACACAAACACACACACATAAAGGTGTGTCTCACTAATGCCCTGAGTGTGTCTTTTTAAATTATTATTATTGACAATAGATTTTTTTCATACAATAGATTCTGATTATGGTTTCATCTAGTTAGGCTATCTATTGCTGTGAAGAAACACCATGACCACAGCAACTTTTATAAAGGAAAACATTTAATTGTGTGGCTGACCATTTCAGAGGTTCATCCCATTATCATCATGGCGGGACACGCAGGCAAACATGTGCTGGAGAAGGAGATGAGAGTTAATACATCTTGATCTGCAGGCAACAGGAAGTGGTCTGACTCAATGGGTGTAGCTTGAGCATATATGAGACCTCAAAGCCCGCCTCCCACAAGACTACACCTCCTAATAGTTCCATTCCCTTTGGGGGCTATTTTCTCTCAAACCACCACAGTTTCCCATCCCCTTGCTCTTCCAGTTCCTCCCCACCTCACCTCCCATCTAGATCCATGCCCCTTCTGTCTCTCATTAGAAAGCAAACAGGCACCTAAGGAATAATAATAAACTAAGATACATCAAAAACAAACAAATTGGAATAGGATGAAACAACCAAACAAGAAAAAGCCCAAGAAATAAAAGAAACACATATAGATATAGGGACACACATATTCACACTCAAGAATCCTATAAAAATCCAAAACTGGAAGCCATGATATATATACAAAGGATCTGTACAGTAGAAAAAGAATTGCCCTGACTTAATATGAGACAAAGAACCTCCAATGATGCTGTGGAGTTCGTTTTCTGGTGGTTATCTACTTTTGGGCATCGGGCCTACCCTTAAGAGTGGCTTATTTTCCCAGTGAGATTTTCTTAGAGAAAAAAACTAATTATTTACTTGCAAATGGCTATCAATTGGAGATAGCTTCTGAGTTAGGGATGGGGACTTGAGTCCACTTCTCCTTTCAGCTCTAGGACCACTTCTGGTCCAGACCCATGTAGGCCCGGTGCATGCTGCCACACTCTCTGAGTTCATATGTGCTCCAGTCCTGTTGTATTTAGAAGACTTTGATTCCCTGGTGTCCTCCATCTACCTCTGCCTTTTTTGGTTTGGTTTGGTTTGGATTTTCAGGACAGAGTTTCTCTGTGTAGTCCTGGCTCTCCTATTTTATATCTGCTAACCGGTTTATCACCTCATGTGTGTGCGGCATCTCATAGGTGACCTATCACACATGACATGCATGCTAGCTCACCCTCACCCAGTGCTCACGTGAGCACAGATATGCAGTGGATACCAGAAGGGAGCAAGAACCCCTTGCTTGGGTGATAGGGAGACAATAGTGCCAGAAAACAGGGTCACCTGAGTTGAGACTCCTTGTTGCCATCATATGTACCATCGGATCGTGGACTACAGTGCTATGAGAAGCAATCTAGATTGCACCAGGAAGTGTCTCCTGCCAGATCTGTTATCTTGGAGCGTCTGTAGGTACTCTCTGTCATAGAACAAAGAGTCCATCCAAGAACAAAAACAACACCAGAGATACAGCCAAGAAAGACACACTCCTCCCAGTATCAACTACACATCACACCCAGACCATCACACAGAAGTCTGTTATACACGCAGCAATGAGGATCTCTGTAATTCATACAAACTAGGGAACCCGGCTGGAAGAATAGCCCTGCACCATAGCCCTGCAGGGGAGGGCTGTGTGCTTCCCAAGGTCTTGCTTCCCTGTGTGGGCTGGTCTGCATTATTAAAAACATCCTGAGAAGGGAGGTGGTGCACCCATCCTGCTCTCCCTCTTCTGGGGAGTTGAGGGCGTGGAGGTTTCCGTTGTTCCGAAGGCTGTCTGCAATGATAATGATGGCGGCCCACAGAGCCTGGCTTTGTGGAGCCTAGCCCAACCCGCCACATCTTGTATCCTCACCACCTGGACCCAGCTGGAGGGGCAGCTGCTTCCCCAACCAGGGATTATATCCACATAGCTTCCCACAGCCTTTCTTCAGATTCCTCACGGAGCTATGCTGGGAACAAAGGGCTTGAAGAAAGGAGCATGAAACTTTTTTTGGAAAGAGGGATCAAAGATAGGGTCGCATCTGTCACAGGAAACATGGGAACAGCCTTCTGCCCGGAAAGACTGGGTTGGAAGCTCCATGCCTGAAGCACATCTCACAGCTGTAGGGATAGTCTCTGCTGTTGGCTACTGAATTCGCTGGGCCTAAGACCCTGTTGTTCCACATTCCTATGCTTATGGTCACCTGAAGAGGTGTGGTACTGTCATTGGGACAGACTGGGGACCCAGATAGAACACAGAAGGGACTGACAGCTAGATGTGGACGGGCACTGGCAGTGATGAGCAGGGCATCTGGCCCCAGTTTTCTGATTCTGTTCAGGCATCACAACAGGAAGGTGAGGGTTTCTGGGTATTGACAGCTTTTATGAATAATGGAGATGGTCAAGCCACTGTACTGAGAACACACTTAAGATTCATGTCTGCGTGTCTGTGGCTGTGTGTGTGAGTGCCTGTGGAGGCAAAAAAGTCAACCGTGTGTGCCATCCAACTTGGTTTTGTTTTTTTAATGTTTTTTATTTATTCTTTGACCATGTCATGCATGCACATAGTGTACTTTGATCATGTTCAGTGCATCCCATCTTCCCTGTTGTTGTTGTTGTTGGTTTTTCGGTTTTTGTTTTTTGTTTTTTTTTTTTGAGACACGAATTGCAGATTCAGCTTGACTATAGAGCCATCAAACATGATGGCTCCTACTTCTGCTTCCTAAGCTTTGGGATTGTATGTTTACCTTGTCATATCCAGCTTTTAATTCACTCATTAACTAATGGACTTATTTATTCATATATTCATTGATGTGTTTGTTTGTGTCTATGGGCATCACACACACACAATCACACCACTGCACATGTGCGAAGGTCTAACTGTGTTTCACCAAGAAGGCCCTCTCACTTCTCTGGGTCATTTTTTCTTCACCCAACAAAGGGGATACTCATAGTGTCTCAGGAAGGGTGGCATCACAGCTGTGTGGCTTGAGCTGCATGGCTTGAGCTGTGTGTGGTGATGGTTTGCGACCTGAGAAACTGTGAAGACCTGGGTATTTCCTCATAGACAATCTGAGGTACTGTTCAAATGTCATGGAGCATCTGCCATGGCTGTGACTTCTTGGAGCCTCACCCTGCAGTGCAGAACCACTTTCCTGAAGGCAAAGAAAGGTGAGGAGGAGATCACCATCACTTTTGAGGTACCCAATGTACTCTAAACAGTGGTCCTTCGAGACTGACCCACCAACTGAAATGTCCTTTGAGCTGTTGGTCATTCTTCGTCAAAGGAAATGGAGAAATGGGAATGGGAGTGTCTGTGACCTGGAGATCCTGCCAGACCTCTGAGCCCTCAGTCAGCTCTGCTCACCAAAGGGACTCAGACTGGCTCTGATGCAGCCAGAACCCACCAGCTGCAAACAAAATGTGGAAAGAATACAAAGCATGATGTCAGGACTTGAAACAAGGTTATCAACTCTCTCTAGCCATGTGACTTCCTTGTATCTATGCTGCCATCTTGGAAGCCTGGATTTTTATGCTCACCTGCCGATAAGGAAATGAAGTTGGAAAGGAGAGCTGAAGGCCACATGTCTCTGTGCCATGATAAGGCAGGGCTTCATAGATATGTAAAAATGCAGTCAGGTAGGACCCCATATTTAGGGGTTGATGTTCTGTGGCTACCACCTTGAAATTCTTCGTCATTTTTTAAAATTTTTTCATTGTATTTATTCATTACACATGGCACTGTGCTGCATAAGGACATTTTCATGCAAGACATGAGGCAACAATGGCTATCTTCTCATTGGAGGGGACAAGAATCAATAGATGCTCTCATTCCACTAAGCTGGGTGCCACAGCAGTCCAAACCTGGCACCAAGGGCCTGTCTGACTCCTGGAGAGCCACGGGTCTTCAGTTCATGTTGGAAAGTCAACATGGCCAGGCTCTGATGCTAGTGAAGGATGGTGGCAGCAGGCGCAATAAGTATATGACCCTGCAAGCAGAGTAGATGAACTTGTCAACAAGACATAAAGGCAAGCAGGACAAGGTAAGCAAAAGTTTGGATGTGCTTATATCTGAACTATCACCAAAAGGTACCGCTCACATTGAGGGTGTGTCTTTCAACATCCGGATGTTCTTAGTTCAGTCCGGATCTAGTCAACTTGATAGCCAGTATTAATCATCATGGTCACCAATCATCAAATCACTGTGTCACTGAGCCTGCTTTGTTCAAGCCCATGGGAGGCCTTCCCCTTTCTGAATGGAGATGGAGGACAAGTGGAGGGGGAGGGAGTAGATGGGAAGAGGGGCGGGAACTGGGAGGAGAAGAGGGAGGGGAAACTTCAGTTGGCATGCAAACTAAATAAAAAGAAAGTTATTTAAATTTTTAAAAGGTGTCACTGAGACTAACCCATCATGCCTGCCTAGTGGTATGCAGGAGAACCCCAAAGGAATGAGGTTTGGAGATATCTGTGAG